ATTTTTGAGCCAACTGTTTTAACTGGAGAAGACATGGGCCAACCAAAATCTGTGGTGTTCATTGCGTAGAAGTATTTCTGGAAATAAATGTGGGAAAAAAATTACCAAAAAGCTTCAAAATATCTTTGATGGAAACACAACTAGGGAGAATAAAGAAACTTACCAGCTTTTCAGCAACTTTACTTCTTAAGATTTATGTCCAGTAAACGTAAAAGCAATGTCGTATTTGGAGTATAAGTTAAGGGAAAGCTAATTTCAAAAATGCGAGGTTTTCAAATTATCAGAACTAAACTAACAGAATAATGTATGGAAAACCAAAAGCAAAACTGCAAACCATCGGCAGTCCGAATGTTTATTTACATTAGGTTAAAATGACACAATCCGATGGTGCGATCACATTTAGCGATCTCTCTTCGAGGAAAGCAATTTCGTTTATGTTCGTAGTAAACATTTATGGTCGAAAAAATTTAAAATCAAAAACATTCACTCACCTTGATAGAGCTCCAACGTGGACAGGATTGCTCGCGATCGCGTGGTTAGTATAAGCTTACGGATGAACACTTCACGCTCTTTTGATATGCAAACGCGGCCCTCGCTCTTTACCGACGAAAAGAGCATTTCGTCACTTTGAAACAATGCTAATTGCTCCAATTGTATCTCCATTGTCTCTAAACGGACGCAAAGCGAAATTTTACAACTCTCGTTTGGGAATTTGTCAGTTCAGATCTAAAGCGACCGAAGTTGGCGGTGAGCGTCTGCAACCTCATTCCTAGGTCATTGCGCCCGCAAAGCATCATGGATACCCCACTTTTCTCGGGCGACGCTTTTCAATAGGTGCGATTCCGTAATGGTCCGTCTGGTGAAAAACTGTGACCGAGGCCTTGAAAACGCTGCCCAAGGACGTAGGCCGAGGTCACAGTTTTTCATCATATGGACCAACCCTTAGCCGTTAAATAACATAATTATTATTTTTTTAACTTAACGAAATTCATTCCGAAATAACCCGAATGATATAGGGCTGTAAATACGACAAGATCTTCCATAAACTGAACAGTTTTTGAGCGAGTAAATGGTAGCTAAAATAGAGGTGATGCAAATCAAAGAGAACATTTTCGTTTGGGTAAAGGTAAAGGTGATTTAAAAGGCTTCCAAACAAACTTTGAAACATTATTATACAAGTATGTCACAATCTGACAGTTGTCAATTAGAGAGCGCGTAAGAAAAGAAAAAAGCGCATGTACATTTTTGAAAAACAACGAACCTAGTTTGGCAAGGACTGTCACCACAAAATTTTCTTCAAAAACAGTCAATGATCTTACGGAAAGTATTATTTACGCTCATCGACGATAAAATTATGTACCAAGATTTACCTTTGTTCATTAAGTAATCGGTGAGGAAAGTAATTGTAAGTAAATTCAATTTTTTTTGTTTTGAAGTTGTGAGAGTTTGCTCGTTGGTTTGCTGCAATGGTGTGTGAAAATCTGGTCTTTCCTCCACAAAAACTAAATTCGGATGATACACTCCAACGAGACACAAGGGGATTTAATGCCACCTTTTCTCATGGAATTCCTCAAGTTTCTGTTGAGCAATTTACGGTACAAATGTCCAGATTGAACGGACTTGAAAAGACTCACCGAGAGCGTATATTTGTTGTAGAACTGAAATTAAAACTTCGCTCGCCTTTTCACTAAGAACAAATTGTTTGAGAAAATTCAGATATTAAATGAATGAAAGTTCCATCAATTAGTTCAACTTTAACCAAATATCCCACGTTTTGAATTTCTAGGTACTTTTTGTGAACGATTAAAATTAATTACAGATGGCTTTTAGACCGCCTGTCAAGCAACGTAATGACACTATTGCTTATACAAAAAAGTCATTCTGAAACGAAAATTTTTTTAGTCAACTAAAGTGACTCGGGAGAGCGAAAAGAGAGGATTAATAAGTTATTTATCAGCTTGAGGTAGTGACCGACGTCTTTGCTTAAAAATACTGCCCAGCCGGTAAAAACGACATATATTTATGAAAAATGGCAACGAATGAAGGGATGTACTCGGCATCTCACGAGAGCGTTACCCTTGCCCGTGGGCAGAGATAGGAAAATACTGACCGGGTAAAGAACCAATCAGATTGCAGGATTCGTTACCGTGCCCTCTGGAAAAAAAAAAAAATCCCTATATAACATCGCAGTTTATGTAACGAAATTCTTCTCTTGTAAGTTCATTTTCTTTGTTCTCGGTAAAGGAACTGTTTTTTTTTTTTTTAATAAAAATTTCGCTTTGTATGGTTTTAAGAAGTTAATTATTTTCAATTAAATTTGGACAATTGCATTTGGTTCAGCTGCGTTCATTACTATATATTACTATATATAGTAGCTACATAGCTTATGCATTTCAGTATCACCCAATGATGAATATAAAATGGGACTGATTAAGCATTTAAGAGTTCATTTTGTTATTTAAAAGTGCTGAGTGCGGGATTAAAATTTTGTTTAAAAATATTTGAGCAGAGAGGTGTCGTTAAAATTCGAATGAGAAGAGCTTATTTTGCACCGACAGTTTACTAACATTGAATATATGTTATTATAAAATGTTCAGAGAAATGCACGCGCCGTGATTGATGAGAACGAGTTCATTATATTTCCATAAAGCACGCGCCTTACGAAAACGAGCGCACTGATGAGATATAATGCACGCAGCCTACGTTATCGGTACGAGCATGCGCAATTCACAATTCACTTATAAAAGAAATAAAAGAAAAACTCTTGTTTGTCGAGCATTCTTGAGTTATATAAGCACTTAGGAATTTTTAAGAACACTCGAGAAGGGTACTTCGCTGGTATTCTTAAAAATTCCGGCGTCCTTATATGACACAACAATGCACTCGGCGCGTTTTTTTTTTTAATTATTATGATAATTTTTTTAACTGTATCTTTAATAAACTAAGTAAGCATGGCATGTTAAAAAATTAAGAGAAAATATTTTGGTAAAAATAGTACACTTAGATTAGGCGCGGGGTTTAGGAAATATATTTAAAGTAGCATTAAATATGCATAACATGCAACTGTAAACAATTAAAATACATGACGTAATGATTGCGCTTACAGGCAACAGGCCCATTTCCCAATTATCGTGGGCAGAATTTAAAAGTGTCCTGGTAACGACTCTAATAGCATTATTCGTTTCTGTAGTAATAAAATGAAGTGCTGTTGGTTTGTTTTCTTTCTTTTGTTTGTTTGTTTGTTTGTTTTTGTTTTAGATAGTTTGTAAATTTTTCTTGGTTTTACCTTGTGTACGTACTTGTATTGATCGGTGTTATAATTACAAACAACAGGTGTACGACTATTTCTGAATTTATCTGTACTTCAGGATGCTGCATAACGAACAGCACTCAGAACACAACCATTATGTCTTAGCTGAATCCTCAGTTCCAAGTACTGCTTACTTTATATATCTCAAAATTCTGCCCGACTTATGATCAGACCGAACTAAGCAGCTAAACTTAAGCTTTGAACATGACGATGTACCACTTCAGTATATCTAGATCTACAGTCTGTTATTGAAAGAGACTCTTCTTTGTCAAGCCTTGATGTTACCACAAATGTCGGGCTACGATAATAATTACAGCCATCACTTAGTCCTAATTTGTTTATATGGCAATTCTGCCCCTCAGATTCTGACCAATGAATTTCTGGTTTCAGTCGAATCAATTTATGGTCAGGCATTCAGTGTGCTTTGATAATTTTAACGGTCAATGTATTCAAAGGCACTGAAGTTTCACTTGTAATCGACCGATTTGAGAGTGTCGGAGTATTTGGAAAAAAGGGAGTTGTGCAGCTAAAAAAACAAAGGACTGAAGCTTACCTTGCTACTGCTGGGTTGAAACGTAATGCTCGTAAAGCTCGCTAACTGAAGTGGGACTACGTCACATGTTTGAAGATGACAAAACCCACTTTCTGACTCCGTCCCTGGACCTACGGGCCTGGCAGGAGGAAAGAAAAAACTAAAACGATCAAATTTATTAAGTAAGTACAGGAGCCCAAGTAATGCCGGGGCTCCTAGTAAATACTTTTATCCCGTTAGATCTCGCGCTAGTTTGTTTTATTATCATTATTATTATTATCATCATCATTATTTTTTTTTTAATAATAACAAAACTTTATTCATAGATTCAAAAAAAAATAAACTATTTACAGATTCAAGAATATGAATATTAAAATATATACCTATTGTACATTCTTCTTGTGTACGAAAGAGAATTGTCGTAAAATGACTATCTAAAGACTACTAATAACAATTATAAAAAGCATCAAAAAGTTAATAAAGAAATAAAAACTATCTAAAAATAATAGTTCAAACTGATAAAGAGTTACTCTCAAATTCTGGCTTGCGCACTTTCCGATGTAATGTCAATGTCAGATATATTGGCTGCTCTTCTCTTGCTCCTGGTTCCTCTGAGACACAGCAAGGCTGATCGTAGGATCGCGATGATGATATTATTATTATCATTATTATCATTATTATTATTGTTATTATTCGATCTACGAGGAGACGTACCTTACTCGATTGTTCCAGTCACGTTACAGTCACTCCACTTTAAAATAAAATGTGCACATGGTTACCTCAATTTGAAGGTGCTCTTAACTGTTAGATTACGTCAGTCGAATCTGTTTATAGGACGCCTCGAAACTCGCATAGTGTGCAAATTAACCAAAGGCACGCACAATTTGCGTAATGATTACCTTTTACAAAGGTAATCCAAACTTTATGCAACTTAACCAAAGGTACGCACAATCTGCAAAATAGCTACCCTCTAAAGGGTAATCAAAACGATATGGCATCCATAAAAATCAGTCAAAGTTACATTCAGTAATCACCAAAATATATGAAATCAATCAACTGATTACTATTGAAATTCAACAATTTACGATGCCCTGCCATTATCGATTTTTATCGCTTAGTGGATTTCAAGAGAATGCTGTGATATTGCTTTCTTTACAGATCATGGACAGGATATTGGATTAGAATGCGAAAGTCTGGTAAAATTCGTTCTTTGGATGGGTATCGAGTTTACAGGCTCAAAAAATAACTCTATCTTCGAATACGTTGACATCTCCCAAGCGTACGAAGCAATAAGGGGCGTAGGATTTCTTCCAATCCTCGATCACGTGCGCATTGAAAACTCGGTATACGGAGTGAGGTCCGTTAATTCGAGTTCCCAACTGACCATGCGTAATAGTAGGGTCAGGAACAGTCGTTTCACTGGTATCGACATTAAAGGAAGACTTAGGGATGTCACTCTGGAGAGCACTATGGTGGAGAACACAACTCTTGGACAAGGCATGTTTTACCGTGGTACTGTCCTTAATGCAGTGGATTTTTGTTCCTTTGATGCGAACAATAACACAGCCTCATTTCCATTGATTTTCCAAGCGTTTGGCAAAGCATATTCCAATGTAGAATGTGCCAAGGTAAGAAAATATTCATAAATTCCTGAGCTATTGATTAATAGTATCAAGCCGATCTAACTTGTTCATAACGCCATGACCCTAAGTTCGTTCGAGAGTCCTCGTCTCTCCGTTTGTCCTTAGGCAGGCAGAAATTTCAAAACAAAGCTTTATTGGGTTCCTTCTCAAACGGAATAAATATCATCGCGCGGAATGCCTATTGTTCTCGAAACATTTACTCGCAATAGCGAAAAAATTATAAGTCTTTAATATTAGCGGCGAAACGTGAAAATCCAGATAAAAAGCGAACACAGCATTAACTCGAGCAATTTTCTAAACCTAGAAAGCAATCATTATGGTTTTTCTCACCCTAACAGCAGTATACACATTCTCCCCTCTAAACATTTCCTAAGGCGCTGACAAGGAGAATTTTTTTGACAATCAAGAGCTTCTTTTAATGCTAAACATTTCCTATATTCTTGAGACTTTGTTTGATCTGAATGGGTGATATTATAAGGCGAAATTAGATGTTGCCAAAAAGTCTGGATAGCAGTAAATTAGTAACGAATTTTAAAATAAAAGACATTTTCTTAAAAAAACATGTTTCGACAGTTCTTCTGTCATCTTCAGTCCTGATTTATGCAAAGTACAAAGTTAAATTTAAAGTGTTTAACTAAAAGCTCATTGGACAATACAAACAATAGAAACAGACCAATGTGTGCAACTACAAGGATAGTTTTAAATTACCATCATAAAATTAATGATTAAGAGTAGGTTGCTGCTATTGAATGTGTAGTTAGGTGCTTGTCACTGACAAGAGTCACGAGGTTAAGAGCCTCATCTTTATTAACTTATTCCGTGATGAAAACTTGTTTAACGTGATAGGAACGATGGGATATTTTTGTTCAATACTTTTCATTCGTGGCGTATTCGATGAAACCGTAATGTAATGTTTATTTCGTTTAATTAGATTTTACATTGTTCCTAGGTAATACGAGCTAAGCCAGGGCAGCACTTGGCTCTGCACTTTCGATCCATCACTGGTGCGTATTTGGAGCTGCACGTCCACGATGGAAATTCAACCAATGCAACAAAACTCATGTTCCTGGACGAGTTTACAGGTACCAATCAGGCTGTCACTCCATACTCAAGTTCTGGTCACGAACTTTACATAAGATTTCGATTTAGTGGTGGCAGCTCAGACGCCAGGGTGAAATTCATGGTAACGGCCGACAAAGGTAGGTGTTTTTGCGGCAATTACTCCGAGGTTGTGAAATCAGCTATCGCTTGTCATTAGGCAAAGTAACTCTGTTGATAGTTTTAAAATGGCGTTGAAAACGTACTTGTTTCGTAAGAGCTCTTTCCTTTAGTTGTAAAAAGTATCGAGACATTTATATGCAGAATGCGTTTTCAATAACTTTAATTGTTATTAATTAATCAATTAATCAATTAATTAATTAATCATGTGATCTGTGCGATGCAGATTATGTCGGGTATACAGCCCGACACCTTCATCAACGCATTGCTGAACACAAAAGTTCGGCAATCGGTAGACATTTCTTAGAAGCTCATGGTAACAACAACCTTTTGAGAGAAAGCCAATTCACGGTTTTAAGTGCCAGAGCAAATTTGATTGCTTAGTATTTGAAATGCTCTTCATCAAGAAACTTAAGCCCAATTTAAATATTCAGACGGACTCCATACGTGCGAAACTCTTTGTTTGATATTTTCTCACGTTACAATTTTTTTATCAGCTATTGTTGTTTTTCTACTTATTTTGACTTGATAATGACGTTCAGCCAACGTCGAAACGTCGTCGCTTTTTAGCAATTTTTTTTAATCTTAAAATGATTTTAAGAAATGTTTTATCGCAATTTTTTATAGTGAAATGCTTTTCAAAATCACTTCTTGTTCGTAAATTTATTATTATTGTTATTATTTTAAGAAACTAAACGTTGCTGCGCTTCAATTGAAATCATCTTCGTTTAAAGAATATACTACACAAACAAAACATAAGACTAACTTATTACCCTTTCTAACATGTTCTTTGAATTCTTCTACACGTAGTAGCTTTGCAAATAAGTTGCCCACCATCTGTGCTGTGTTCTCTGAATTGATTGATTCATTATCGTTTAATCTTCGCAGATTGTTGCTCTCTCAGAATTTTCCGCTGTGCATTCAATGATAACAAAGCAACTGGATTATACTTAGAAAATTTCATAGGAAATATGAACATTTCCTCGACCTCCGTCTTAAGGAACAAAATGGACGGAATGATGATAGACAGATTTCAGGGGAAAATGAAGATATTCGATACTCACGTGATTAACAACAGCGCCAATGGTCTTCGAATTGTATACAGCAGCTTTTTATCATGTACAATTCACCAAATGTTTTCCAAAAAGAATACGCTAAATGGACTATATTTTTTGCGCGTTGCCCTCAAAAGTAATTTTTCTGACTCAGTGTTTAGTGGAAATGCTCATAGCGGGCTAGCAATAGCTTACGGTGCTGGTAAGGTCAAATGTTGGAACGTAACCTTTGGTTTAAATAAACATTGTGGAGTACGGTTTTCTGATGGTAAAGTATCTACCAACTTCAAATATTGCGATTTTTCACGCAACAGTCACGATGGTGGTTATATTTCAAACGAGGAGGGAACTCATCAGTTTTTTAATTGCACAGCAAGTTTAAACTCCAGGTATGGAATTAGTTTGTGCGATCCTCCACGTGATATCTCTCGACAGAGACACTATTTTAAACATCTTACTCTGACAGATTGCGTGATCAGTGAAAATGCCAACTATGGTGTTAAATTAGCCCTTGAGAAACATACTTCAAATGTTTCTATCACAATTAACAAAAATCGCGTAGCAAGTAACAGCGGAGGAGGAATAATCTTGTCTCCGGACCACAACCGGTGGTATTTTGATAGACCAAGAAGAGTGACGGCCCTTTTGGAGAACAATCACTTTGAACAAAACAAAGTAAATGCAATTTACGTGTACTGCACAGGTTTCCTCGGCATAGACGCTTTAATCGATTCAAACGTTTTTGTGAACAACACGGAAAAAGTAATCAAACTTTTTGATGATATCAGTTGTGGTAGCTATAGGAGTAACCCTGTCAATGTCAAAATCAGCAGAAACAGATTTAACAACAACCGTGTCGAAAATGCTGTATTTATAGACTTCTACTCATATCCTGAAGCTCGATTAGCCGTCTTAACAAATAACACTTTTGAAGACAACGAACCCCATCTAAAAAATCTTTTTCCAAATTTTTTTAAACGGCTCACAAGTCGGGCGATCATTGTCTTTAAAGAAGGAAGTTTTACTTTGCGTGAAAACATCTTTGAAAATCCCGCCTTCGCTTATCAAATCTCTACGCTGCTTTATGATCATCGTCGAATTATTGACGCAAAGCGCAACTGGTGGGGCACGCCAGATGAGTGCAAAATCTTTGACAAGATCTTCGATTTTCATCACAGAGTTCAGTTGTCGCAGGTGGCTTTCTTCCCGTATTTCCTCTCTTCAGAAAAACGTGTCATTCGTTCGAATACCTCCAGACCAAGCTGTTTTCTACGAGGTTCAACGATTGGCGGAATCGTGGATAGACCGCTTACCCTGTCAATTACTGAATCGCCCTACTATGTTCGAGATGACATCATTATCTTGACCAACGGGACTTTGGTGGTACCAAAAAATGTTACATTGCTGTTTCCTTCCAGATCAGCCATGGTTGTATATGGAACGCTTCTTGTCAATGGAACCGAAAGTGAAAAAGTGAGATTTACGAAAATAATTCACCGGGGAGCATTTCGTCTTAGCGGGGGTGCCGGCCCATGGGAAGGTAGATTGGAATTTTTAGTTAATGGCACCTGGTGGCCTCTGTGTCTTTCGCATTACAGATCGTTTACCTCAGAGGCCAAAATAATTTGCCAACAACTTGATCTTACATATTTCTCTCACAGTTTCAAACAACCCTCTGGAAACGAACCTGGTTTCCTTCATAACGTTGTCTGTGATGAGAACGTCGATAGTGACATAATGAACTGTAGTTCCAAAACAAGGAGCTATAGATCTTCATGTGGTGAGTACATCGTGCACGTGTTTTGTCAACAATACAATTGGGCGGGACTTCATCTAACAATGACACCACATCAAACCTTTCTACGGCACCTGGAAATATTTGATGCTGGTTTCGCTCATCGTAGTGACATCCAAATTCCTGGTGCCGCTCTTAAAGTAGACTTCTATCATCACAATGTTCGTATGAGCAATGTTTTCATAAACAACTCCGTTGGATCCGGTATAGAAGTGGTATATCAGAGTCCGTTCCACTACAGGTCGTTGATACCCCATTCTACAATATCAAATACAAAGTCACATGGTATCCTCTCGCATTCTCCTTCCCTAATGGTTACAGACATATGCATGGAAAGAAACAGTGGCAATGGTTTCAAATTTCTAAGTACGACAAGCTTGTGGGAAAACACATATAAATTCACTGCCAAAATGACCAACCAAGACATGAGCAAGGTTCTCCATGTCTGCTCTGAGAATGAAACTGTTGTACCAGCAGGTAAAGTGTTTCACTTTTCCTTAGAGATATTGGAAGAGAAATCAAGCTTCAAATGTCACCATATCTTGAGGACAGAAACCGAACATAAAATTGTCATTCAAGAGCTTTACAAATCAGCTCATTGGCATGCATCTTATCTTTACTTGCACGTGTACGATGGAGTAAATATATCTCAAGGGTCCCCATGGACGATGGGGCTGTCATCATGGGATAATCAGCTAATCTTTAACTCATCAAATTCGTCTATTTCTTTTGAGTTTTATAAGCGTGCTGGAATTAGTGGAGTAATCAATTTCTTGGTGTTTACAGTCAAAGGTAAGTAGTAATCCATATTTTTATAAAATTTTTCATGATTTAAGTACGGGATGTCTGTAGTCTTAAAATACATAATCCCAAAGAATTAGACTCTCGAATTTCTTTTAAAAATGACGAGTTCCTTCATTTAAGAACTGGTCCATTTGGAACTCAAGAAGCTAGAGCTTCGCTCGTGCTTCTCTCGTGCTACCCAAACCTCTAGCGTGCACCATAACTCGATATACGCACAGCTTAAGGCGTGGACCAATTCCTCTATAATATAGCAACAACAAAGTCGTGGAAACATTTTTTATTGAAAAAAGGAGAAAAAGTTAAAAGTTTGTTTTAAAGCCTCTTTAATCTCCTTTATCAGTACGCAAATAAAAATCTTTCTCAAGAATTGTTCAGTTCATGAAGGCTTTTGCCGTAATTTCAATCCTTGGTTCACTTGGCAAGCATTTGGCATAGTTAAATGATAAGTTTAAAATGATGTTCAGCAACCCTGGTCAGACCGTAGTGGGAAAAACTGTGCCCGAGGTCGGGCATAGTTTTTCCCATTACGGAAAATAACATATTTTTAATAAAAAAAATACTATTTTCTTTTAATCAACAGCCAGCGAAAAGCTTGCATACATCGGTGGAGAAATTAGGTTAGCTCGTACAAAGGTTTCTAGCAGTCTTCAAGGAGCTGTTCTTGTTGGAGGTTCCATGTTGAAATATCTCAGCATCGTTGACACAGAATTAACTGCCTCCCAAGAATTCGGTATCAGACTTGCACCGATCGGCATTGAGGTTATTGAAATCATCTCAACAAGTCTCCATCGCAACAAGCAAGGAATTATCATACAGCATCTTACTTCCAAAGAACTTATCATACAAAACTGCATTATTAACAGTTCCCTTCTTCATGGAGTCTATATGTTAATCGAGGGAAGATCTCACAGTGACAAAGACTCAATCACGATTGTAAACTCGACCATTACAGCGAGTGGTGACTATGGATTGGTGACCTATGATCACGCCTACGGGTCGCGCCCAGATTTATTATTAATTAATAATAGTTTTTCTCTAAACAAGAAGGGAGCCATTTACCACAATATCTATACTTATTATGATAGTTATTCCCCCGCCATAGTAACTCATTCCAATTATTTTTTTCGCAATCAAGGATCCACTGTGGAAATTTCACTTAACAGGAATATTGATCAAACCTTTACTTTCACTAATAATTCCTTTAGGGAAAATCAAGGCTTCAGTGTAATCTTGTTGAAGACCAGGTCCTGGCACTATGGACGGAGATCAACCGTAATTATTCAAGGTAATTTATTTTTGGCGAATCGATGCCCAGTCAACGGAGTGATTTACATTGGCAGATATGCAAGTCGTGACAGCTTTGAGGTTGAAAATAACAACTTCACACGGAATTTAGGACCCTGCGTGTTTCTAGAAGGCACGGCATCTTACGTTCAAATTTCGTTGCAAAATAATCTCTTCAATGAGAATCTTTGTGAGGATAAGAGTGTGATAGAAGTCCATCGCCTGGACGAGCGCTTTGTTTTGGAAAACAACATTTTCACAGCAAATGAGGCAGAAGGTGTGGTTTTCCTTCAGATGATCTATGACATCTCTCCATCCCTTCAGAGGAAAAAGGTTGGCTTTAATAATAACACTATATTTAATAATATCCCTCACTCTTCTGCACAGTTATTAAACCACGTTAGCTCCTGCGCAGTTGTTTTCACTGGCATCCTGTCATATAAAGAAATGGAGTTTCACTTCAACAAATTGAATAATAGTCAATACAGGAGGGAGCTGTGTTTGAACGTATCTGCTGTTTCCACTCGTGACGTTGTAAACGTCACACATAACTGGTGGGGCACAAAAAACATTACTGAAGTGCGTGACAGGATTTGGGACTTCGATGACAACTATGACTTTGCCGTTGCCACATTATTGCCAATTCTTCTGAGTAGAGATGACCACATCTTATCTGCTGTTGGAGAACGTGAATTTAAAATCCCTGGCCGTATTCTGTCAGGGAGATTGTTGGAGTCTTTAACGCTTCATCCTTCTCAAAGTCCTTACTTCGTAACTTCGGATTTATTTGTTACAGAAAATGTCACTTTAGCCATAGAGGCAGGTGTCACAATCAGCGTAAGCCCCGGAAAGAGCATACTTGTCGCTGGAACGTTTAAGGCGAAAGGGACATCTCTACATCCAGTTGTATTGACAGTTAAGGAGCCTTCGGACCTAAACAAAAATTTTCGGTTACCTGTTCGCCTTTTAGATGGCAGATTCCCATGGGAGGGGAGAGCAGAAGTTTTTTACAACAATACTTGGAAACCAGTGGCTGCTTCAAACTTTAAGGTAGTTAACAATGTCTCTAACGTACTTTGTAGACAGCTTGGATATGGTCCACCAATGTTTGCAATTTGGAAGTCTGATGAATCTCACTCTAATACTACTGACTCGTTCCTAATAGAATTTTATTGCTATGGTAACGAAACAGCCCTAGATGAGTGCTCTGGAAATCAGGAAGCGTTAAACAATACCAATATCCTGAGAGAAATAAAATGCCAGGGTCAACCTTGGGGGAATCTGCGCTATGTATCCACTGGAGAAGCGAGTAGTTCCAACGCGCGTTCCGTGTTGAATCACGTTCACTTTTCCCACTGTGGAAGTCACTTAGGAGTGTCGGTACCAGCCATTGAAGCAGTCATAACTGCGCCAAAGATTCAACATGTCACAATAAAAAACTGCACCTCCGGCGGCTTAAGAATCTTCTCTCCAGTGAATGACATATATCTCAACCACAGCACTTTTTACAACACTGGAGGTTCTGGTATAAACGTGGTACAGATACGTGGCAACTTTGTGATGGAGACCTGCGAATCATCCAGAAACCTTCGAGGTCTTTCCGTTGAAGAACCAAATGCAGAAAACATCCCTCGAGTCTACTATGGACGAGTCTTTCTTTGTAGTATATATAAACCTGTTCTGATAGCGAGTATCACACTTCTCTACTTTGATGTTACGCGGCCGAAAAACACAAGGGTATCGGTAACTTGCCAAAAGGTACTGACAGTGGACAGGGGTAAAGGAATCAAGGTGACTCTGTTGTACACTAAAGGAACAGGACGGCTGAAAGTTTATGGCTCTAGGACTCCTTCCAATTTGATCATCGATAGCTCACATGCGGGCCTGACTGCTCTTGTACACAAAGAACTTTTCATTCCACGCAGTATAGCTTTATTGGAGTGGGCTGGTGACGTGAACTCGGAAGTCCTTATTCTGGTAGAAAACATCAATATTGTGGGTAAGTATCTTCCTACGTCTACATTTTTTTTCGATTATTTCTGTTGCCCCTAAAATAATGGTAGCAAAACATATCAGTTGTGCAAGAGTTGTATTTTGTACAATTTTGTAACACTGTACACGGCGAGGATCCATATTTTTCCAATTGACATCCTGTTAGTGAATTAAGAAAAACATGGAACATGGATTATGGTCACATTCCAACGATTAATTTCTTGTCAAAACGATTTCGAAACATGAAAACTCTGCTTCATAAAAAATACCAAAACGGTTTTCCGGTTTGAGTAAAAAAGTTTTTGTACAAAATGAATATTATCTGACGTTAGTAATTATTGTTCTTAGGTAGCCCTTGTACATTTGAGGTTGGATACTGTGGTTGGCGTACATTCAGCAACGTGTCAATCCATGGACACAACGTCACCAGAACATGGGCAAGATTAGCTTACGGGTGGCCATTTTACATACAAGATTACTCCTACCTTTCTTATTCCGGTATGGTTTGTCCTTTTTAATTTACAACTAATATACCTCTATAGTTTGCACAAATTGTTTCTTTATTGAAGGTCTCTAGGGAATCCTCCACCTTTGCCTTTTGTAAAATTATGCTTGCATCTGCATGTGAATAAGGGAAAATAAGAAAAAAAAAGGTCTGTGGAGAATTATTACCAACCTAGATTTGGGAAAACAAAACATATTAACTAAAAAGGTATATGTATTTTTAGAATTGATTATAGTTTTCGAACAAAAATTTTGCGACCGTCTTGCTCTATCACACAAGCTCCCTTCCGAAAGATACTTGTGTCAAAACCGTTGTCACATTTGTAGGTAAAAATTGTAGGGCAGAAATCTAGACAAAAGAAAAAACATACATTCAGCTTGGCATTCATTCCTGACGTGCAGGAAGATTCCTCTTCGTCGGCGATTACTATGGGGTGTTACAAGACGTTCGCGCCGCCATCATCAGCCCATCCATAAAGAAATCTTCCCGCTTCTGCTATGTGATGTTCACCTACCGCTTGAGGGGAGAAGAAACTCGATTGTCTCTTTACTTGGAAACAGGTTCGTAAGAACTGCTTCGTACTGTGGTAATTTTTTATGAATCCTTTTTGAAAAGGTTTTTTTTTCTTTTTTCAGTCCTTGAATTAACATTTCTTAATCAGCCGTAGATTGATTTCTTCGTCAAGATATCTGTTTTTAGATCGTATTTGCCATAATAGTCGTATTAAAGTATGTGCAGTGGACTTGATTAAAGACCATCTCAGTTTCTTTGTCTTAAAAATAATACAGGGAAATTTCCCAAGATCGAACAAAAGCTCATCTGGAGAACCAAACATAGTAACATTAGAAAGTGGAGAAAGATAATGATAGACATTCCTAACAACGATGTTGATGAGTACAGGCTGATCCTCGAAGCAAAATACAACAGGTCGTTTTATGTCTCACTAAACTACGTCGCTGTGGATAACCTAGTGCTAAGGAGCTGTTCGCATGAAGGTAAATTGCTGTTGCTCTCCTGTAGAGTGCATTTTAATTGAAAAGTATGAGCAAATACAAAGTTAGCACAATAGTAAATCAGAGAAAATAAAAGTCCCACACTGAGGCATTGAGAAGTCAACATATATAAAGTGTGGAAAAAAGGTATAAGACACAATTGGATAAAGGTTTGCATGTAATTAATTAAGAGTTTTGGAAGAGTTTTCGGAACAACTCACAGAGAGCGGTAAGTTCAATAAATGCCATCCAAGATGGTTTTCAACATTCATCTTAACAATTGCCATATTCTGATAAAATAACTTCGTCGCCGTGGCGTTTAAACTACACCATTCCAACATCGTCTCTCTTGCAGTATTTTTTTTTTCTTTTTTGATAGCACTCCTTTTTAATTTCGTTTGGCTTTCTTCTTTACGAAACTAAACTTTATCATCCCAGGTGAGGAATACCTTGAACAAAAACGCAGTTACAAAATTCCTTTTCTTTGGAGGGCGGTGGGAATGGGGAGGAAGGGGGGAGAAAGCAGGAGCACAGCACTCGCATTAATCACTTTTGGCTGAACATTTTTAAGCTACTTACCTGTATTAAGCACTTTTCTAATATGATATTTATTTTTCACAACAGGTGAACATCGAATATTCAACAGTGTATTTAATGGTAACTCTCTCCAGAGTATAGGCTGGACTTCTGTGTCTGATGGAAGCGATATACGATCTCCTCTCACAATCGAACGCTGTAAGATCACCAACACACCCGCCCCTTCTTCAAAAGTGCTTCACAAGAGGGCCATCTCCATTGAAATCCAGGACAACAAGTTTAAACTCATTAACAACTTTATATCTAGTAACCGCATTGGAGGGATTGAGGTTAAGCTAGCACAAAGCGGTGGATCAAGTTTGCGAAAAAATTTTATATACGGCAATACCTTCTCCTTTAACGCCAATGGCGCTTTATCTGTGTCAGGAAGGAAAAGTAACCAAAGTTTTGTTTATATTGTCGACAACGCATTTGACAGTAATCTTGGGCATGGCAGTACTCTTAGACTTACCGATATACAGAGTGAGGTGGTAAACAATTTCTTTTATAACAATTCTGGACTGTATACAATCGAGTTCGAATTTTCTGGTGCGTTGCCTAAAGAACAGAAATGCCAACACAACACGTTTTTCCTCAACAAAGACATTGGTCAAAACTATGGTGTGACAATTATGTCAAACGGGCCAATGGAATACTACAATAATAACCTAAAAAATCCATACAATCTTTACGAGCTAAGCTCGACGAGGCAAGCAGTTACTGACCCGATTTTGGCAACACAAAACTGGTGGGGCACTGGAATAGATGCTTTTGTTGGTTTGCGAATTTATGAGAATGATGATGATTACAGACTGGGAGCTGTGCAATACAAACCTTTCAAGAAATTACCTCCCAGGAACATCTTATCCAGTAAGTGAAAGAAAAAATATTAGTAAGACAAGAAACTGCCAATATATACGAGTGTAATTTGGTTTGTTTCAGTAGCAGTTGACGTCAAAAGTTACTGAAGGTTTTGTGTCATTTTACAGTTGGTTGTCCTGCTAACTGGTTTAAAGCAGGCTCCACTTGCTACACTATCAGAAGGGGAAGTAGGATGCGCATGGAGGCAGAGGATTATTGCCAGGTACGACGAATAGCTGAGACAAAGTGTCCCTTTAAGTTGTCATTTAACTGACTCTGCGTGCTATGTTGACCTTTCTTTTTCTCCTAAGGTGTGACTCAAAGTAAGTGCGACACTTAAGCTGGGGCCTAAAGGAAAAGTGAATATGCTTATGAGTGACTGAACGATATAGACTACGAGCGGTCCCTCCTTTTCGGCGAAGTCCGTCCGGTAGCGCAAGTCAAAACAGATCAGTGAAAAAAAAATATGATATTAGTGAGCCGCGGGGAGGTCCTCGAGTAAGAGACCGGACTGCCAGAGTTCGCGCAGCACTCTGCATCATTTCTTTTTCACTGATTTTTTTTTTCATTAGCATAACAAACTCCATTGACTACAAAAGAGATATTCTCACGAGTTTGTTTGCGAAATATTTCGCAGTACTATTTCATTATTCTTGTTGAATTCTATTCACTTGTATTTATTCAAGTACTATGGAGGGCATGTGACGTCGGCGTCTTCACCAAATGACATGGAATTTGTCAACATGGCGATGAAGGCAACGAGACCAGACGGTAAATCCGTCGTGCCAATTTGGTTGGCAGCTGAAGGCGACTTCGTAAGTGTTTAATTATATGCAAACCGGCGGAAAAATTAGGATTTGTTAGTTCCACGATGTATGTATAATTCACATTTGCTGAGAAAATTCACTTCCTCTCTGCAGCACAAATACTTAGAACAAACGAAAAACAGAGGTCAGCAATTATTTTCTTTGATGAGCTCATGCACAATGACATAGAAGCTCCTTAGTGGGAAAAACTGGACTAAGTTGGCTGCAAATGCGTATAAATGTTGTTTTTTAATTAACGTTGCTCCATGATTGTTATATTTTTATATTTTTACAGGTGGAAATGATTGGCAGTGAACAGAGGAACAAGCGCTGTACCATCATGACACGTAGTAGAATTACAAAAGTTGTTCCTTGTAACAGTCTTTATCCATTTGTATGCAGTAGAGGAGCTGGTACGTACATTGATATGCGATGCAATAAAGTATTTTGTTACTGCTAGTTGTTTGGCACGAAATATTTCTAATAATGATATATTCACAATCACAATTCTGACCTCACTTACCCTCCATCTTCGAACAAGAACCTTTTTGCTTGAAATGACCCTTGCATACTTCTAGAATTGACTACTGTCCCATTTTCCAGTCATCCGCTGTCCAAATGGCTGTTTTCACAACGGCGACTGTGTCGGCGCTACTTGCTTCTGTTACCGTGGGTGGTTTAGAAGTGACTGTTCTCAGTATCACTGCAATGACGTGCATAATTGTTCGGGCAATGGACAATGTGTTGGACCAAACGTGTGCAGGTGTACACCGGGATATCTCGTAAGCATGCATGCATTTTTTAATTATTTTGTCAACGTTTTTTAGGTCATCCAAGGCGTTTAGAGAAGTTTCTTAACGTCTTTCCTACGATTGTGCGCTCTTTCCTACGATTACTTTAGCATCCAGCGATCGTGCCAAGACAATTCGTAATATAACAGGCTCTTGCCTAACGATTCCGATGTACCCTCCCAAACGCTGTCCCATATCTGCATGAGATTTCGGTAAGGGTTTACTTCCTCTTCTGCCCTATGTAATTCTAAAGAAGATATCCTCTCTCGGCTCCTAACTATATGGCAAGTCAAGCTGTTGTCCGGTTAAGTAAACTTGACTGTGTTTTGATACAAAACCCTAAGGAGAACGATTCTATGCCTTGTGAAGTGCTTACGGATTCTTGTCATTCTATAGGGTCGAGGATGTACCTACTCCTATTGTTCGAAGTTTCAAAGATGTTCTACCTGCTCCCAGGACCCTTTTTGCGGCTGGTGCGACAGTTCACAGCTGTGCATTCCGGGAAATTCTCTCGGGCCCAGGTCTTTCCAGCAATGTCCAGATTGGTTCTTCTACACTTGTTACACTACTGGAAGTGTCAGTTATTGTTCCAGCCAAATACAGGTAAGACTTCTTGTACGAGCTTTATTATTAATGTTTATGCCCACCAAAGAGGGAAGCATGAAACGGTTAGAGTGCTGATGGAAACAATATAAACAAATCGTATCTTAGTTATGTACAGGTGTAAATAATAAAGGCTGAAAATAACAAGACTATTTTTCTTAGATTTCAATGCATTGTCAGTTTGGAAGTATTGTTCATTTATCGTATCAATTGCGATTAATTGTGTTTTATTAAAGGCATTTACTTGTATTTTATAGAGAGTGGACTGTGCCAATAGACAGTGTAACGCTAGCCATAAAACAACTAATTCAGAGTCCTGTCAAAAGTGTAAAGATCTTGAAAAGTGCTACAACAACGTGGTAAGGATTCTTTTTTTTTTTAAAGATATTAAGGGAAGCATCTATGAACACCTTCCTGTATCTGATAAAAGGTCTGTCTCCCTCTTCATAGGAGAGAGGAAAATGCAGAACTTGGAACGAAACCCGTTGTCCTCATGGCCTGATACATGTAGATTACACAGATCCAAAGCGAGTAGATAATACTCTATTACGTACCAATGTTAAGATAGTTGATCCAAATAGCACCATCGTTTACCGGTGTCCCGTTCGAAATGGCCGTGAAGAATCAATGACGCTGCTTGTCGCCCCCAGAAGTTTAGGTATTCAACCTGGTGACATTCTAGCTAGTGCACAAGCAGGTGGTTTGATGCACACTATCAATCAAACCATAGCCGCCGGTAAGGTTTGAATTATTATACTAAAAGTATACACACTATGAGCTGTTCTATACCTTGCTAAGGCATATCAGAAATAAAAGGACGGGATTCTTTTCTACTTAATGTGGATCTCGGGCTGAGACGTCCTAACCTTAAATAGCCTTCAATGAAATATGCTTTGTCGCATATATTTCAAAAGTTGACGTTCAATTTTTTTTTTTGTGACCGCAGAATCCCGATATTGAATCAAAGGCAGTCTATGACCGCATGTGCTTACTGTTGTTTAGTCTATTTATTACACCCACTTTGAAATCACTGGTGGTCCCTTTAATCTAATTGGCTCTAATCGGTGCGATTTATTCACAAATCGCATCATTTTTTGCTTTAAATCCCATCTTTTTCCTAGACAGTGAGGAGGCTACACTAAAAACAAAACAATCAATCAGATTTCAAGGCTTGTTTAAAGTAACCGATCAAATGGTAGGAAAATGTGAGACAAAGAGTATCATGTGGCGAATTTTGCTGCTTTTGTTTCCAAAACTGTTATTATTTCCCCCAAAAAATGGATGATTTTAATTTCAAACCAGCTCAGTACTGCATCAATAAAATATTTGAACTGACCAAATCCTGTATTTGGGCGATTTCAAAATGGATGTAATAAAGTGGTAATTGAACCTCATGTCGTAATTGAAATGAGTGGAGTGCAATTTTGGTCTGAAATCATACTTGTGATTTCAAATCGAACTCGCACTGCGCGCTCGTTCAATTTTGAAATCACGCGTATGATTTCAGCCCAAATTGCACTCCACTCATTTCAATTACCATTATTAATCTATCTATTAATGGAGCATTAGAGTAATAAAGCAATGTGTCGTAAAATGCAGAGAAGTTAATGAACAGCGCTTGTGGGTTGGTTATAACTGCTCCTCTCCATTCCGAAGGTTTAAGGTTCGAATACTCGGCATCAGTTTGTTTTTTTGCCCTTTTTTTTTCTTTTCTCTTCTTTTTCCCTTTTTTTTTCCTTTCAAAGAATATGTTGGAAATGTCCAGATTAACACGCACGTGTGAGAGCGATTTATTAAAGGACGTGGCTTTTACGTTGAAATCGTGACAATAATCGAAATGAAGAAGTGGTGAGACCCTGACATCGAACAACCAATCAAAATCTATAATTAATCCGAGAAACCCAATCAGATTTGTTCAACTACGGCTAGTACCAGAGCTGAGCTAGATTACAAGAATCGAGACGCGTTCCAAGAGACGCGATAGTCCGCCATTTTGAAAACCGTGGGAGGTTTGGGGTAGGGGTTATGGACTTGCACGACACCGTAACATAGGGTTTACGGCCTTCTTAGGGGGAAGGTCAATGTATGTGGGCACAAGAAAAATACACGATGATAGCTATAAAAGACTTACCTTGATTTTTGATATTTGACATTAAAGGCCCTTTTTCAATAATGATTGGAGAACCTGCAAGGATTGAGGATGTTGTCCAGTACGCAGATTTCACGGAGAAAGTTTCTCCAACTCAGGTGGTCGACGAATCTACTTCGGATGAGCAGCCAGATATGGATAATCTAGTTGACATTAAGAATGGAACCTTAAAGCTGAACAACTCTAATGTTCACATCTTACCAGAGGGTAAACCCCCCTTAAAAATAGTTTTTGATATTTTGTACAGTGTTATTTAGCAACTATTTACCGAAGTGGCAGAGACTAGTAATTGGTTTTATCTGCCGAGCCGAGCCGCAAATGTACGCCGTTAACCAACTCGACCTCAGTGAATAGCTGTTTTAGAACAGCGAGATAGTATAGCACAAAAACTGATTTTAACTTAATGATTCCTGTAGCGATTACAATATTTTCGGGCGCAAATCCCTCCCGCATGCGTTGTTCGGAGGTAAATGCCATAAGGATTGCGTGAGAAAAGAGAACATAAAAAATCTTTCGAAGAGCAGGTTTAAATGAAGTTAAGTTAAATTCAGTGGCGTGTAATACTTTGTCTCACAACTCCATGATCAAAACAAATACAAAATCTTCAAACGTGATTGTATACCGTTGGGCAGCCGAATTTGAGCACTTAATAACTTGGCCTTTTTTTAATTTTGCTTTCAGGGACATCTATTTTCAAGTGCTTGGGACACATTTATAAAGTGGAGGAAGGTCTAGCATATTCTCAGTTTCTAGTTATAGAGAAAAAAAACTCGTTCAGTGTTCGACCTGGAGATGTGGTAGTTTCTGAACGGAGTCACGGCTTTATTGAAAAGGTGACCAGACTCAACAAGACTTCAAATATGGTTTTCATGGAGACAGAACTCGAGAGGTGTACGGAGAATTCTACCTGGACACGAAGGTAAACGAAAAATCCTAGATGTCGTTGAAAAAACTCACACCTTACGACTTTCTTAATAAAACCGTTTTTATTAATGTGTTGGGCGGTAATAATAAACGCTGAATTAAGCTTTAAAATCAAGAGGGAATAATTTATCGCGTTCGTGCGAGTGCTTCTAGTTGTTGGCGGCATCGAAATCATAGGCACAGGAGGAGGGGTTTGCCCTACTTGCAGCACAAGCTTTTTAAAGAACTTCATGAATCGTAAACAAACAGACAAACAACCAAACAAAAACAAGCAAACAAACAGGAGTTCACTTAGCATGACGATCATTGCTTCTTGTTTCGATATGAAGATTTACACCCCGAATCGCCGATTCTGCATCTGATGATGGCGTATTTTGTGCTGGTGGTGACAACAGTTATGGATTGATGATAACCGAATCAGACGCCGATCCACAACACGTGTCAACTAAGGATTCTATCATCGGAAGAACCAGTTATCCCGTCCTCGCAAAGGTGAGAAAAACACCGGGGGAATTCATCCTAAACGTAGTAGAGCTGAGGCAGACAACCAACAACAACAACGACAGCAAAAACATGACACGCATAAAAGTCATGTCCGAAACTGCATCGTGAATTCTTTATTAACACTTAACTCGCTTTGCCTGTTTATGACACAGACTATAAAAAAGTGTTAATTATCTTTTTTCTCGTTTACACAGTAGTTATTTTGTTACAATTAAAAAAATCTGTTTTTAGGTTGTGGGATCATACATGAACGGGGATTTCTGGATGATAGAAGTCCTTCCTGTTTTGTCTGTTGAGAATGGTACAGCTGTTACCATGGTAAAGCTTGATCAACTCCATAAGAAACGCAGAAGACGCAAGAGAGACAATTATTATAATAGAGAGCTTCCGTTTTCGAAAGCTTTCGTCGCGAAGCCGATTAAAATAGCACTTGCTTTCTCAAAAGTGCCGTATGCATCGGGCTACATGACTATAAACCATAAACTCTCAATATCTTCAATCCTTACTGTGTCCATAGTCGTGTCTTCTAAACGAAACCAGAACGGTAAAATGATCCCAGAAGATGCGTCTGTAGGGGTAAAGATGGATGGTACTGTCACATATGATGTTGGTGTTGACTTTATAGTCAAAGCGCGGTAGGATGTCATACTTCTTTATACTATCATCATTCAGTTATCTTTAGTAGAGGATGGAATATTTCAATTGGGAATTGCAGTGTCAATTATTACCTTATCGTGTTTTTCTCGTTTGTTAAGCTTCGCAAAGCCCGGAATGACTAAGATCAGCCGCTTAAAAAAAAATTGTTTTCGGCTGAAAACTGGTTACTCTTGGTAATAGTCATTGTAAGATTTCCCCGCGCTGAAAAGTCAAAAAATTAAAAATGGAAAAGAGGTCTATTTCCATTGTGTTGTACTCTGCTCGAAGCGTTGAGAAGAAAACACTTTTGCGTCTTTTGATGATAGGCTACAAAAAAAAAATAAAGCAAAATAGAAAGGATTTGATGTTTGCGCGTCTTGCAGAGTGCTCACATATTTTTTTTCTTAATAATACAATGTTTGTTTTTTAACTCGCGCAATAGACTTTACCAGAAACGAGAGACTACTGGTAGGCTAATATATATGGTGATGCACGATTAGATTAATGACTATCGCGATTTTTAGAAAGTGAGTGGACATCTGCTCTTCTTATTTGAGGATGTGTGGAGTCCACGTTCTACTTGGAAGAGACTTTGAAAAACATAGCTGGCACTACCCAAACTTTTTCAAATAAACCTGGTCTGATACCGACTAAAAAGGTCCATCGATTAAAAGAAAGACTCAAACAACATAACCAAAGTAAAACAGTTGATCTAAAAATACCACGACCTAAGAAAATATAAAAAAAAAAAAACAAAAGATATCTGACAAGTTGTTTCTATGATCATCATTGCCATTGCCATTATCTTAAATGTTAGCTGTATTGTTATCATGAAACTGGTGCATTCCCTGGTGAAACTTGGTGCCCTAAGAACTTTCTGTTCGTAGATCTTTGAGTTGATGTTAGTTTTGTTGCAGTTAATTTAGATAATATAAAGTAAATATACTACATTCTTCTGTCTGATTCGTTTGCATAGGCTACATCTCACTAAAGAGAAATTTCCGATACTACGTCCAATTAGGATAGCAGGAATTTGCATCCCCATCATTTTCGGGCTATGCATACCATCTGCCATCTTTTTAGAAGTTTACGGACAACTTGACTTAACAGCTGAGGTACGTTTTTGTATTGATTTGATCATTCATCTATATCTAGATGTCCATTTTTTTTGTCTACCTCTTCAACAGAATGGGGTTAGAACCTTTTTTTTCGTTTGGGTTGTCCCTGTCTCCTTCGTTGGTAATATATTTACAGGCGATGTGAATGTTTTATGGATTGTGAGAACCGCGAGGTGGATTCCGACATGCCCTTTAAAAAGACATCGGCGTTACGTTGCCTTTCAACTTAGTGATTAAGTAAGTCGGTGAGTGCTTCGATTACTGAGTTTGTTGTCGTGGTTGCTCCTGGAAAACGCATGGTCACGGTAATTTTTGTCAGTCAGATACATTAATAGAATGTTGAGTAGCAAATAGTGTGCTTGTCTCGTCAGAGTCCTGACAGTCTTAGTTTTCTGATAAGTCAAGTCATACGATGATTCAAGTCGACCATTACTCTGCCGTTGTACGTCGTTTTCCTGTTGAATTTGGTCCGTAATGTGTCCCCTTACGGCTCGTCCAAGCATTTTGAAAAGGGTAGTCTTCAAAGGAAGTTTTCCATTTTCTTTAACTGCTTTTTAAAAATTTGTGGACGTTTCTATTTGCCAACGCGGTCCTCGAATGTGCCAATCTCGTCCTTTTGTGCGGTGGAAAATAAATCTTTCTCATAAGGTAGTCAAAATGGTAGTGCTTTTCGTAATGGTGCGATACTCCGTATTTTGAATCAAAATTTCTGAAACAGTAAAGGTGAGTTGAAAGTCTAGTTACATATTTGAGAAAAAAAATCACACCCTTGCTTCTGATTGGCCAGCTAACAATTCCCAGCTTGTTTTTAAGCAATATAGGTAGGTTTAGAAGCTTCTAGGTTACATGTTTCTGGTCTAAACTGTATCTAAATTTTCTCACCAGTATAAACGATGAGGTCTTAACTCTATGTTCTTGATTTTTATATCTTTATTGCATGACGTTATTTTTCAGTATGAAGTTGAACTCCCCATGAGGATGGCAAGGTCCATCAAATTTATCATCGAGGGAAATTGCAGAGCTCTCGAGGGATGTCAGAAAGGAAGGAGCCAAGTGAGTAATGAGAGCTAAATAATTCATCAAGTCGTTGAGCCGGTCGAGCAGGCAAGCGGAAAGTCCGGTCGTTCGTCCTTCCGTTTAGCAATTGGTCCGTCGGTCAGTGGGTCGTCAGTTCAGCAGTAGGTCAGTTAGAGAGTCAGTGATTAGCATCATCAATAAGTCAGTCAGTCGGTCGGTCGGTCAGTCGGTCAGTCAGTCGGTCAAGTAACTACTGTTTTTACCACAGTAAAGCCATATAGATTTGTTTTGATGTTGTTGTTCTAGTTTACGAGCTCCAGTTATTTTTCCGTTGAGGATGTTGAAACAAAAGCTAAACAGCTGGAAGCAGAGCTTTCTATAACTCCAAAGCTTATTCTTGGAATTCCTGCTGGTGGGACACGGCGCGAGAAAGGAGGTTCTCTGGATATCCTGGATTTTGTTAAAAGGGCTATTCCGAGTCTCTCGAATCTCTTTAATTCGTTCCGTGAGTATGTCATTTGTGTCAAGTTTGTGTGTGATTTCTGGCTGTCTAATTTAAGAATCTCCAGAGAGTTTATGAGGCCGCGCAAAAAAAAACAAAAAACAAAAAACAAAAAAAAAGAAAACGCGTTCCCAGATGGTTCAAAAGATCTTTTATACGAGAGTGTAGGCACATGCTTTTAGCTGCTGCGTACATACCAGAGGATCCACGCAGAGAAACCGAATGTTAGGTTTTTTTCTGCCTTTTGTGACGTCAGCGTAACGAAAGCTGTATAATCAACCGCGAATTTTCTTGCGTTACCTTTCGGAAATCGTTGTTGTTGTTGCTGCTGTTTTTGGTCTGGGCGCGCGAAAATTGGCTTGCTCCTTACTTGTTACAGTTCCTATCAAAAACCCTATTCTTGTAAAAATTCGTCGAAGCTAATCAATAATTCTTTGAAAATAACAAAGTAGAGAATGATTGGCAAAACTGGTTCGGCACGAGTCACGGATCAACACGAGTCGGTAAATGGAGTGTTCGAACAGGTTGTAGTTTTCTACCAAGATTCACTTAAAATATTTGGAACTTTTTTGTGCATTAAATTTTTTAGACTCTCGTGTAAATTAACATATAGTTAAGAGTTTACAGTCCTGTTGTAGTAGGTTCGAACGAGTATCTCAGTAAACTCGAGAAGTTCGAGGAAAAACATGGGGCATTGCATCTACATCGGTAGAATTAGTCATGGTTTGGCCATGGCAGATTTGTAGGAAATGAAAGAAACCTTTTTTTTTAATCTAGGGGTGATGATAAGCGTGATGTCACTTTACACGGACATATGGGACTAAAACTCATCTTAAGAAAACCGCTTAAACAATTTCCACACTGCATACAGACTGATTCTTAGCTAACCTAAAATAAACTACCTTGGATTCCCACGAACCTTCCAAACATCAAAGGAAGGCCACTTCTGTCTAGTGTGGCTTCTTTGATGAACCAGGGGTCTCAGATAACTCAACACGGTAAAAATTATTTAACGAAAGTCTACTTACGATCGAGTCAATTAGGGATACATCACAAGGAGAAAATTCTAACAAGAGATTAATTGATATCCTTGATAAGAGTATTTAAAAAGTGTGAGCGACCTTCTACGTGTGCCTCACGTCCCGAACATCTAATACGGTGGCCTAATTGTTTTCATCAACGAATATGTTTCGCGGAAGTGTAATTGAAAACTCCGTTGATCACCCTTGGAATGCTATCCTCAAAGTAATCAACTTAACTGACCAAACTAAGTCACTATGCAGGATAAACCGTTTGGCTGTGCCACTCACAGGCTTTGTAATCTGCTATCATTACTCTTAAGATTTTTGTACTTTTATGGTGGATTTAATCAGGAATACTCATTTTTTTCCGTTATTCGTCTTCCAATTAGCGAGCGACGACGACACGGATGATGGTGATGTTTATTCAGGTGATGTTAACGACGATCATTACCATTTTGTAAAAAGTTGTCAGTACACTGTAATTGGTGAGAGTTCATTTCTAACGACCGGAGTATTGCTCAGTCCGTAGAACTACGAACGAAGTTTGTAAACATGAAATAGAATGCGGAAAATCGCAGTACACTAGTTTTCTCTTTAGCAATATTCTCAAACTGCACTCATTCAAGTCCCTTTCTCCACAGTTTTTTACCTTGAAGACTATGACTATGAAGATCAACGTATAACTGGGCTGGGTATTTCAATTATTCAACTCAGTGTTGGGGTTACTTACGGGATCAGGGCAGATTTTGATTGGTGCAGTGACTTTTGTAAAACTAAACGACGACCACATGAACTTAAAATAACTCCCCTGGGATTCACGGAGATGGTCATTGGATTGGCGTTTCACTTACCTGGAGGATCTAGGAAAGGCTTAGAGTTCAATTTAATTGGAAACTTGAACTCGAGGGAAATGAAGCCCCTAAGGTTTGTGTCAATCTTGTACCAGATTTTTGTCAGATAGCCCACCGCCAAGACTTTGTAGGAAAATGAACTATCATAGCTAGTGCCACCTAACAGTACAGTGCAGTTATTTCAATTAAAAATATAAAATAAACAGAAGTTGACTATAAAAAGGAGTTTACAGATCTCAAGACACCGGAACCATTTCGACCATTTTGAATCCAGTGCAGGGTAAATTTTGGAGTGAATGTATGCATAAGTGTTACTATGGCATGTGCACTCGGCATTTAACAACCGATACGTATTTAGAACCTTAACTTCTTCTTGTGCTCTGTTTTCAGGAACTGCTTTCATTTGCCATGTCCTAAGGTAATTCTGCTTTGCAATTTGCTGTGTATTAAGCCCAACTAGTTTTTACAAAAATACTCATCGATAGGCAGTGCTGTACGACATAGTGGTCGGACTGAGCCAAAAAGGTTCGTTATCTGATAAGGTTTAACAAATAGAGATAACAAATTACTCGTACTTAATAAGCATTAGTGATTTGCAAATAATTGTGCATCTACTGAATTTCACACTACTTGTGTTTACTTCGTCTGTGCGTTTACACAACAGGCTAAGGGACCTACAAAGAAGCGATTTGCACTGAGTTAAGTTTTTACGATCTAATTTTTTTTCCCAGTCTCTCTGTGAATGTCCTCAAAAAACAAGGACGACGACAACCAATCCTACTACAACCGAAAAAACAACATGGTTTACCACCAGCCCTACCACGACCGAAAAAACAACAGAGTTATCAACCAATCCTGCCACGACCGAAAAAACAACAGAGTTGACAACCAACCCTACCACGACCGAAAAAACAACAGAGTTGACAACCAACCCTACCACGACCGAAAAAACAACAGAGTTGACAACCAACCCTACCACGACCGAAAGAACAACAGAGTTGACAACCGAACCTACCACGCCCCGAACGACGACGACAACCAATCCTACTACAACCGAAAAAACAACATGGTTTACCACCAGCCCTACCACGACCGAAAAAACAACAGAGTTATCAACCAATCCTGCCACGACCGAAAAAACAACAGAGTTGACAACCAACCCTATCACGACCGAAAAAACAACAGAGTTGACAACCAACCCTATCACGACCGAAAGAACAACAGAGTTGACAACCGAACCTACCACGCCCCGAAAAAAAACAACTACTCGCCCCACAAAACCGCCTCCGACCACCCCTCCTCCTTGCAGATGTGATGGTGGAGCAGAAGCTCTGGTTGATTCTGATGGAAGTTGTCGCTGTAAACCGTAAGTGTCGTGAAATCACTTGAGGATTCTAATGCAATCGCAAACACTTCTATCAAGTACTGTAAATGCAATGAAAAATTTGATTATTGGAGAGTAGTCCGTCAATATAGAAAATCGTGCGATATTTCATAATAGCCCAATATCTGGAGCGAATATTGCGTTTTTCAGGTCAAGATCAAAGTGTGCTTAGTTTCAAAGTCTCTGTCCATGTGGTGTTCTCAAACGTTTGCAAACTCAGGGAGAAGTGTCCTCTTTTGCAGATGATTTTTAAAAAATGTGTCATAAAACGATCATAAAACGATCATTGATTTGAATTCGGTTTTCGCATAAAATTATGAATAATCAAACTTCGTGCCTCGTGCCTGTGTTATCTGCCTCAGCCTTTAGCTTCGGCAGATTACTCAGACCTCAGTTTTTATAATTCATGATATAGCGCTCAAGCTTATCCAAGAATTTCTTACTATATGGCACATCAATACTGGCGAACAATGTGTGAGAGAATATATTTAGTCGTTTATGCGAAATTTGTGGTCGGAAAATGTCAATTTTAACTGATATGTAAGATAAAGAAGAGAACGAAATGGGTCAAAGTATTGTTCGCATTCGATGGCGACCTTGAAAACCAAAGTTCTGCAGGAGATGTCCAACTCTTTTTCTAGCGTAAATGGGGTAGCGCAAATGTTATCTTAATGTGTACAAGTCAATTCACCTCCCTTCAAGCAATGAAATTTGAAGTTACTTTGAGTGAGTTTCTGATACGTCGACCAAGCGTTAATGATGAGGTGAACATTGGCGATTATATGAAGTTTTACAGAAACTGGTCTTCGTGTTGTGGGTTTAGGTACATTCAGGTTTGATTTCGGATTTGAGACTTTTCTTTATTAGTGACCTTAATAATACCTTGATTCCTATATCATCTGTGTAATCTTAAGGAAATGCCCGGAAGGAAAAGAACCCGTTATTGTAAACAATCGATACAAGTGTCCAGAACATCCACCCTGTGGTGAACCTCCAAATTGCGTTGTGGGAAGGAAAGGACCCGGATGTACTCAACCAGACGTGCAGCCATGCTCAGGTTAGGAAAAGAACTGTGGTCCATCATTGATTTCACTTAATACCCTGATGTGATAAGCCACGCAAAATGCTGGAAGAACACGAGTGACCGTATGACGATTGTTTCTTTTGCAACCTTATAAAACTAGTATAACAATAAGTCTTACAGCAGAAGACACTCTTACAGAACAAAATGACGGAAACACAGAGATTTTTGCATAATCTTGAACTCGCAACAAGAATTAAAACATTATTTCTCTGATTTTTAGCATTTATAATAATCAAATAGCTATAAGCCAGTTCGTGACGGATTGTAATTGGGTTCTTTAGCACCAGAAAACGAGTATAACAAATTGTCTGAAAGTATGTATTCATATGTCTGCGTTATGTCGGTTATTTTAGCAAGCTGTTCTGGTAATGGCTATGCAATAGCTACAACAAACTGTGGGTCTCAGTGTATTTGCTCCTTTTGGTGGATTGGAACGTGCTGCGAAATAAGGCTACCGCGATGGAACTGGGGTGATCCTCATCTTGGGACGTTAGATGGTAAGCTATTTCATAAAAAGATCGATGCTTTAAAACACTAATTTGTGTGACTGCCTTTATACACGGAAAGTCCTTATGTATTCTGAAAGCCATAATGTCCTCAAGTACCTCTGCCAATGCTTTCTTTAGCCTTATTATTTTCAGCTAGTTTCCAGTTATCATATACTTTTAAATTTTTCCGGCAGGCATTGATTTTGATTACTTTGGAATTGGCGAATTCTGGGGATGTAAAAGTATCTTCAATGACTTTGGAATTCAATTCCGCTATTTTGCTTATCAACGAGCCTCGCTTACAGGGGGCGTGGCAATTAAGGCGGGACAGAGTGTACTGTCAATCATGGCTCTTAACACGAGTAATCCCGACCAATTTCCGAAACTACGGTAAGAAAAGTTTTTAGTAAAATCTGTCATTGAAAAGCCCTTCATTTCTTAATTTCAATTTTCTGTCAATAAACAGGTAGAAATGGGGGAAGAATAAGTACTACTATAAACTGTAAAGCAGTCTGCACAAAAAAACTGTCGATGACCTTTTGAGTTAGTGTAGGTTTGGGCACTGAGTTCTTTCAGTCTGTCACTCATATGTGTCAAATTTCCATTTATCCCAACTGTAACTGACAGGAATGGAAAGCGCGTGGCACTGAAAGTTTTCCCATTTTTTTCCTTTGTCATGAAAGCATCTCAGGAGTTCCATGCCACTGGGGATTGTCTCCTGAGGGCATCAAAGATAAAACTAGCTACGTCGATGAAAAGTCTAAGGCAGCGCTGTATAAGTCACATAATTCAGATTCTCGCCACTTGTATAACCTGACCGTGAAAATTTTCAGATACGTCTCACGAAACCGGCGGTAAAAATGAACAAAAGTAGCTGACACGGCCTCTTGCCCCAATAAACTGGAAGAAAAGGGGATTGTATTTAAAACTTAAATTTTACAGCGACTCGCCGTCAATATCGAACAAAAAAAAAAGAGGAAAGCGATTTCAAAGCTTCCTACCTTGAATTAGCAAAGATATTGAAAATAAAGAAGTCCTCCTTCCAAAATTTGGTCTGAAAACATGTTACTATGACTCCTTATACTTTATGCCAGCAAAAGGCATTAAAGTATTCTGGAATTCGCCTTCATCCTTTTAAATTTGCACCACGAGTCGAAGACTTGACGTTAAACATAAGTTTTACTTGTCGATAAAATATTCAAATAGACAAACACCCAATAAATAATTTGACCTTTGGTGGTCATAGTGAAATTAAGATAGAGCTAAAAAGCGTAAAGTACCTGAACACCTTGCCCTTATTTTTTAAGGAATTTCTATAAATATATACGAGGGAACACTTTCTAACATCATTTAAGTTTCTTGCGTTATTCATGATATGGAGATGGTGATATATATATTTTTTTAAATTTTTTTTTCTTGTTATTCATAGAATCGACGGAGGTCTGATGAACGTCACATCTCTGATTGGGAATAAAGTGAAGCTTAATAATGGAACGGTTGTGTTGGATACCCAAAAAACTTCCACATCATCCAAACCAGAGGAAGCACAAGTCGTACTTTTCTCTGTGCAATATGAGTCAGGTTTAGTGAAACTCATTACTGTAAATTATATGACTATTATCATTCGGGTAAAAGCCTCCACATATCTAATAAGTTAATCAGAAAACTTCGCACTCCCGCGGAAGCTTTTCTATTGGCCGTAAAAGTCCTCGGAGAAATTCTCAAGACCTGTTATATGCCGTTTCATTGAAAATCTCTCGCTTCTCGCAGATCCACTGACTCGACAACGTCTACAGATTTCCCAATCCCACTCCCCTTCGGTGACGCTGGCTAATGCCTCTTTCTGCTCATCCTACGCCTCAGGCAAATATTCTTTTATGGATAAATCATAAGTTATCCATTATGAGGCATAGGGTAGGTAAATGCGAATTAATTGCAAGTGAGAGCTTTTCATTTTCTCAAAAGGGAATCATCATGATCTTCTTTTATAAATGTTTATGGTCGACTTAATTTGAAGTATCGTTATTTTATGTGAAAAATAATTGATTCAGAACGTAGCTATTATACTCATCACTATTTCTCGTGACATTTTCAAAGATTTATAAGTATTCCATTCACCAAAAATATCTTTATAATACAGGGTACAAAGACTATGCCAATGTTGTTTCAAAGCCACTCCATTCGTTCATGAATTTTTTTCTTGTCTTCCAGCTTCCTCATTATTTTGTGAAGTTCTATATTTTTCTCACTCCTCGAGTATGCTACTTATAGTCATGAAACCAGGTGTCACTGCGGTTTCCGGTATTAGAGTCGATGCAGCCGAGCTAATAGATGACACGACTGAGCTAACAGTCCGGACGTTCATCGACTCTTATTTATTCTCTGTTCGTTTCACTTCAAGGACTTACAATAACAGCTGAGGTACGTTACAGTCCAAAGATGGGCCGTCATTATCTCAACGTCATGTTCATACCCTCAGCAAGATTTAAAAGCCAAACTGAAGGCCTATGTGGAGTGATGGATGATGATCCATCCAATGACTTGAGGGGTCCAAATGGAGAACAATATAATGATCCTATTCAGTTTGCTGATTCTTGTAAGTATGGATCATGATGTTCACCTACAGCGTGTCGATCAGACTCCTACTCTTTGGACCTTATTGATCCACGAGATTTTCCAATTTCCGTTTTTCAAATTTTCAATTACTGTGCGAATAGATTGAAATCTTCACTGTTCCAGAATCAGCTTTCCTGAGACTAAGGCTAGCTATTATTTGGATAAAAAGATCTTTTAAATATAGACATATTTGCTGTCTCTCACATCTACTGTACTCTAAATTTCTGTTTACCTAAACAGTTTTTACACTAAATTTTATTTTAAATTTCTTTTTCTTTTAAGGGCGCATAACGGCTGTTCACAACAACTCCGGCCTTCGAGGATCATGGTCATGGAACTCTTCAAACTTTCACAGCGATGACATCATGGATTCTTCTTACAACGATCCAAACCATGTTCCATTGTACTCTTTAGATGGCATCGGTGATATCATTGTCGCGGTAAAAGCTCTTTGATATTTGTCTTATTCTCAAAATGTTTCTTGTTTTTTGTTTGTTTGTTTGTTTGTTTTTTCTTTTCGTTTTCTTGCATGCCAAAAATAACCGGTTTAGATAACTATTCTCGCATAGCCACAGCACTGGAATAAGTCACGTGGCAAGGCCCAATTTTTATATATTTAATTTGTCACCGTGAACATTGAAATAGAAGCTTTCAAGAAACTAAATGTGAAATAAAAAGCTTAACACATTATCATTATTCATTTTTAAAGTTGAACAGGAAGGTAGGTTTGTCCTTAGAATAAATCCCTTTGCTATATAAAGAAAAGAGAGGGTAGGTAAACCAGTTAGTTTGTATGGTTTATTCTAGGAAGCTACGGAAGCCTGTTCGTCACTTGGACTTACTGGCGCGATGTTGCAGAGCTGCATTTATGACGTAGCCGTAACAAATGATATGACACTTGCTGGACAAGAGAGCCTGAAACAAAGTACGTTGAAAAAGTTCGGACATAAAAGTATTCATCAGCATGCTAAAAGTTGAGACAAACTTATTAAATGGTTCTTAATAAGCCAGTCCAACAATTTTCATTATTATACATTCAACTCACTATCTCTTTTCTGGTTGGCCCATAGCGTAAGATGAATTTTTTTTAAGTCAGCGCCTGGGACGTCATGTAACTGCCGATTATACAATAATCATGTAAAGGACACTCAAGGTCACGGGTAATCATGTCATGTATGTCCGCGGTGTATGATTTCTAGGGATAATCATGTCACGTTTGCGCGCTTTGTGTTGCTCGCCGTTCTACTTACTTGCGTGAACACTTTTTTTTTCATTGAATAAATAATAGAACAATTGTTAGATTCGGTTTTTGTGATATCCAGAATAACCAGGGTCTCGCTAAAGGTTTTCAGCCTTAGCCTTCGGTTTTTAGCTGATGAACCCTATCTACCGCAAACAACGCTAACGAAGCTTTTAGACTTTAGTCGCTGGAAGGTTTTATTTTTGTGACACGGCTTTATGAATGAGCTGGCGAAGTTTCGAATAATCCTAAATTATTGGAAGTACTCAAATAAGCATTTAAAATTGAATCTAAATCAATGGACATAACTTGTGGTACTTAAAGTGATCCTTTTCTCCCTTTTTTGAAAGGTTGTCCAAACCAATGTTCTGGGAAGGGTACATGCATTAACTCCACGTGTCAATGTATGACTGGTTGGTCTGGAGACAGTTGTCACTTAGGTAGGTACAGCCAATCAGAAGGCTTGAGAACGTAAACGGAGTTTGTCACAAGAAAAAAATATATACTACTTACCAAGTCCATTCCTGAAAAGTATTCTTCAATTCAGGTAACTGCACAAACTGCAGCATGGAACACGGGCGGTGCGTGAAAGGATTTTGTGAATGTGTTGATGGCTGGGAAGGAGTCAGTTGTGATCACAAAGGTGGGTTCTGAAATAAGTGCATATCGAGGAGCTTTCATATATATTCAGTCACAATAAATCTTAACAAGATTCCCCTTATGATCTCTTAACCTTACGCATGGAAATGTAATTGGTTCTTAGAAACGATGAGAAAAAAACGAAGTTACCAAGATACTCATGTCTGTAATTTTTTTTCTGGGTATAAGCACAGGCAGACCACACTATGCGTTCGTGGTTAAATTGTTGACATGAGACGAACAAAATCTATGTGGCTTACAACTTGGTGGCAAGCATACAGGCCGTATTCAATTTACCGTCAAGTGCAGCAACTTCCCGTGGCAGCCCACTGCGGTTTAAAACCAAGCCAAGCGCTGATTGGTAAATTTGAAACGGTCTGCATGCTTCGAATTCCTTTGGTCGCTGAGTCTCGCACCAATCATATTTAGAAAGCTAAATTAATCAATTCAGTATCGATTTTCTCGAAAAATTTTGAAGCTTTGACTATAACAGTTTCAAGTGAACGCGGTCGCGGCTGGCTGCCACCAAGTTGCCAGCCTTGTCTCCCCACAAGCACTTTCGTGAAAAGACGCTTCAAACGGCCTAAGAAGGCGAAAAAAATTCCACAAGCGAATTGATTAACACTATATTTAACTTCATTGAGATATTCAGACCGAGATGTAATTTAGAAATGCAATTTTCAGAGCTTTATTCATAACCCTCTAAGGATTGTTTCGTCTCATGTCAACAATAATTAACCACGAACACAGTGTGGTCTGACTGTTGCATAAGCTTTGTGTTCCGTAGCCTCTCAAGGGTAATGAGCGACATTTTTCTTAATTATGAGATCCCTTTGAAAAAAATGTGATAAAATTGTGTTCTGTTTACTTGCTGTAAGGGACGAGATAAAAGTGCAGTAACATACGATCTCTCTGTTCTCTCATACAATAACGCGCACTAATGTTACAGCAACATGCAACAACGTCAACAACTGCACAAGCCCAAGCAACGGGTTATGTAAGAGGACAGACCAGTGTCACTGTCATGATGGATACATTGGTAAGTTGCTTTATTGTGTAGGCTAAATGGAGTTGGCAAATGCATTTAAAAGTGGATATATGTCCCCTGTTTCACTGATCATGTAGTCAAAGCCACTAGGCTGTAACGTTGAGATGATAACTAACCTTGCGCTTCAGTTGTGGCCACTCAAGGCGTGTTTTGAAAACAAATAATGAAGAAGTTAAACAAGACTTCATAGTTGTTAAACGAATAGTAGAGTAGACGGAGCACGGCGCTGAGTCGTGCCATGGGGCTGAGAACGACAGTTTAAAGTTTAAATAAGCTAAAAAATTGTAATTGAAGACCGCACTCTCCTTCAGTACCAACGCCATACAATTTACGGGTTTGTTAATCGTGGCTTTTATGGTGGTTAAGGGTTTTCGATGAGCAAACTCAACTGGATTTATCTTAAATTATCAGGACATGACTGCAGTGTTATTCCTACCTGCTCAAATGTGTCTGATTGCTCCAAAAGAGGGATCTGTGTTGACTTTGATGTGTGCAAGTGTCAGGAGGATTGGACTGGAAAGGACTGTACCCAGTTCTCTTGTGAATCACTCGACTATTGCTCAAGTAATTTTTTGTACACTTTGCTTTCATTTTCTTTATCTGAGAACATATTTTACTTCCGTAAATATATTAAAATTATGTAAAACTGTAAACTGCGGATAAAGAAATGAATATGGAAGCGATCTTCGCTGTACTGAGCGCTAGTTGAGCAGTAGTGAAAATAAGGCCAAATACAAAAAATTCAGGCCTGTAAAGGGTTTAAACACGGGTCATGGGTTCAAATCCCGTACATTGTTTAATTTTTTTCAGGCCTTATTTTTACGACTGCTTAAGAAGTGTTCATTACAGCAAAGATCGCTTCCATTTTCATATTTTATTTCCATTTCTTCAAAGTATTTCCTTTATCCCAGGATTCAATTCATGATGGATAGCGCACTTTTTTTTTCTAGAACGTGGACGCTGCGTGGCTCCTTATAAGTGCGACTGTGCTCCAGGGTGGACAGGAGCCAGCTGTGCTCTCTTTGATTGCGCAGGAGTTAACCAGTGCTCCGGTCAAGGGGTATGTGTATCAAGTAACACATGCCGCTGCTACCCAGGATTCCAAGGGGCGAACTGCAGTGATGTTGTAGATTGTGAGATTCTTGGAAACTGTAGCGGAAACGGAGTTTGTATTCAAGGGGGAAATGATGGAAATGTCTCTTGCAGGTATAAAGCATCTCTGTTATCTTAATTTTCTGATCTTTCTCCATTGTTAATTAAATTATGGAGAGAGTGAAGCATGCACAAACGAATGCATATATTGATCGCTTGGGGATTCCTGTATGGACACGAATATGGTTTAACGTAGAAATGATAAATCACAAGCTGTAGGGCAACTAAACAACTGCCAGTCAAAGCCATTTATGATGATAAACTTACTGGTTTGTCATTTGTCGATATGCTAAGGGCTTTTGACTCAATAAAACACAAAATTCTGCTTAAAAAACATAAGATAGTGGGTGGAATTTGACATCGCTAAAATGGCTTTCTCCTCTTACAAGGCGCTCTGCACACCAGCGTCTCCCTGTTCAGAAAGCGATCAAGGAAATGTCCAAGAACATTTTGATATGTTTATCACGTCTTTAGGTCAGTTGCACAGTTGTAATATTAGAGAGGGATTTTTAAAGATTCCCTTAACAAAGCACTGAATGAGAAAGATGCATCTCAAATTTTAAAACTTTGAACGAATGGGCTTTCCTGCCGAACGATTGAGAAAGGCCATTGTCATTTCCATTTTTTTTTAATTAAATCAAATTTTAACGAAATTTGTCTTTTGTTTTCAATGCATTTTTATTTGTATAACTTTCTAGTTGAATTTGTTTTCATTATTACTCATATCTTTAACTGACTCATCGTCTTCCCCTCTTTTTTTCCTACTCACAGCTCGTTTTTTTTTACGATTTCTTGTTTCCTATAGATGTTATGATGGATTTAGTGGTGTGAAATGCAACATTTCCTCCTGTCGTTCAATTGACAATTGTACTGGTCACGGTGTCTGTGTCGAGGCAAACTTTTGCAAATGTGACATGGGCTACAGTGGGGTGGACTGCTCAAATGTGTCATGTGAAGGTGTTAACTACTGTTCAGGTGAGACATTGTCGAAAACCTTAGTCTTATACTAATAACTGCTCAGAGACCTGCTGCTTGGTTATTTCATGATAACAAGTATTACTTACAGTTACATCGTATGTAATTTGTTTGTTTGATAATTTGTAAATCACCCGGTCACTGGGGCTAAAATTCTTTCCGAAGCATTTCTAGATAATTACTGACTGATTTAAATGGCTCTGGATAGGTCATGGTGTATGCAGCAGCTATGACACATGTGTTTGCGACTCTTTGTGGCATGGTGCAGCTTGTAGTGTGGCAGACTGCTCCAGTCTCGATGACTGTTCAAAGAAGGGCGATTGCATTTTACCCAACACTTGCGAGTGTTATCCTGGATACGACGGGGCAGCGTGTAACATGACAGCTGAACCGAACCTACACGCTCCAGCTTTTGCCGCGTCTATCTACAATGCCTCAGTCCTAGAGAACAGTCCCCCGGGAACGACAATTCTCCAAGTGCACGCTAGGGATGCCGACACAGGCCGGAATGGGAAACGTTTTTTTTCGATCGACAACAGTAATAACGCGAAAATGGCGTTTACCATCGACAGCATCTCCGGTGATATTCTTACATCGTCGGTGTTGGACTACGAAAGTTCCTCTCCTAATCTGTTTAAGCTGAAGATCGTGGCTTCGGACGATGGAAATCCACGCAAGTCAAGCTTTGCTTTCATGTACATCCATGTTGTCGACGTCAACGACAACTGCCCGGTCTTTCACTTCCCTCAAGCAACGTGGTTCAACATTTCGCAAGATACACAATTAGGTAGACTTCTGACTGTGTTATCCGCCCGTGACGAGGACAGTGGGCTCAACGGAGAAGTGAGATACACCTTATCAAACTCAAGGAACGGTGGAGAGGCCTTCAAAGTGGGTGAAAAAAATGGAGAACTAAAAGTTGTTGATAAACTTCAGCCTAAAAAGTACCTTCTGATAGTTGTGGCAAGTGATGGAGGAAAAGTTTCGTGCTCCAGTCATCTGGACATCACTGTAAATGTTTTCGCTGAAACTAAAACTACATCTGAAACTAAAACTACATCTGAAACTAAAACTACATCATTTACCCGCTCGGAAGGTATATCGTCTTCTATCTCCTATTGCTGATGTCTAGGAATTTTTTTCCTCGTTCTTGTTGAATGTTTGAAATTCTCTTCTATTTTCTGTTAAGAAATTTTTTATACTGAATATCCTGCTAACATGCTTCGTGGTTCGACGAGCTAGTGTCAACCGCTTCAGGAGTAAAATTTTCGTGGCATCTGTTGATGAAGTGCTCAAACGGTGCCAACAATTCCGGAAAGATTGGATTAAACAAAGGGTGAATTAATGAAATGATATCTAATTATTGCAAAGGAATTTAATACTCGTCAGAAGAAGAATATCTTAAGCCACTCTATTCAAACGCGCAGCATACCTGAGTAAGATAAACAACTCAAATTGTTAGCTGAAAGGCGTGCAGCATTCCGAACCACAAGCAAAATTTACGTTTATAACAATCAGCAACTGATTGTTATAAAAAAAATTCGGGAGTTTAAAAATCGAAATTGTTTATTTCTAACTAGGTAATCATTTCAACTGTTATTTTCCACCAGCCGAATACAGCTCTCCAAGTGCAATCACGACAGTAAGTACTGAGGAGATTCCAGTAGAGGCGCCTACGAAGAGTTGGTTTCTAAAACCCATTATGATCATTGGGATTTCCGTTGGCGGATTCATAGTTTTCGTTGTAACTGCGACTGTGCTTCTCGCTATCCTTTCTCGGAAATTTAAGCGAAGAGTCGAGCCCACTGGGGACGATCCTTTCAGCGGAAGGAAGAAACCTGAACGCTTTAACGGAAGCACTGATAACCCGGTTCTTGTGACAGACTCCAAAGGGGAGCTTGGTGGAATTGTATCCCGTGGAATCAAGACAACGGAGACATTTGAGATGAAGAATATGCCTTGCGTAGATTAGTGATTCCTTGATAACAGCGGGTTTGGTATTACACTAAACAAGTCGCGGGAGAAGAGTATCAATCACTATATGAACAATAGCCTAGATTTGGCGGAATATATGAACGCATATTCGTCCGCGGACATTATCTATTTCAGTTTTCCGAGAGCGGAACTCGAAGAAAACAGTGAGCTTCGAGGAACAGATGATCTCCAAGGAAAAAAATGTGCGCGTACTTCCGCACAAAATAGAGGCTATTGTATTTATTAGTCTTAAAGTAGTTTCAAACGTGCGTAAAAAAAATGTTTACGAACAGCTTACTGTTTGTTGCGTGGGATGTTTTCTTTTGAGTGTTCTCTGGTATGACTTTATGAACAAACAAATGTAGAGCAGAAATACTTAGCAGAAAAAGAACCAACTGGATAATGACAATTTTCTATAAGACATTTTGGAGTGTAGTATCGCTGAGTATTACCTTTTTTCTTTACTCATTGTTCGTATTTTGACTCGCCCTACGGCCTCGTCAAAATACTGCACAACTCGTATGAATACTCAGCAATACTACACACTAAAACGGCTAATAAGATACATAGATGCTTGTTGCTTGTGCTCCGACCTCCTCTTCCATTTAGAGAGGACTAAAAGAAAGATCATAAAAAAGTATCTGCAACCTAGTAGAAATTTATAGTAGGAACGAGCTAAACCAATTATTCCCTAGTCGGAAGGTAAAAACCGTGGGAAAAAAAAAACAAACAAACATACAAACAAAAAGCAATGCGCCAAATAACGTCATGGGGTTACTCGGGTTTCAGTTAAGATTGAAGCTATTTTCATAGTTCTTTTGATATATTAACTTTATATTAAAGGATTATTCAAACAAGGACGTCTAACTCATAACTGTACGAACTTACGACCGACCGTACAAGGTGTTACTTTTAGCATGCGCAGCCAACTGTACCACGGGCACTATCTTAGCCATTACGTAATGGAAGGGCGAGAGAGAAGGTAATGCGCAGGCGCGATTGCGTGCGTAACTTGGATACCCCATTAGTGCGCGCCAGGAGACACCGTCCGCAAGGAGACACCGTCAAATGACGATAAAGTGCGCATACTCGGGCGTCGAGTTGCAGTGTAGCGTACTGCGGGCACACGGTTGGGCATTGCATGATGTGCATCACGTGGGCTGGCAGATGTGAAGCCGCGTGAGCAAATAATTCGCCACCCGCGTTTTGAGCGGGAAATTAAACTGGTCTCAGTATTTAGCAATTTCTAAACAACTCGTAAGGCAACAATACCGGCAAAGGTTTAGCTTCGTCAACCGGAGGAAATTGTTATAATTCAAGTTCGTGGAGAGGGGGTTTTTAGTGAAAATAGGCTGGATATAAAGAGACAGAGCAACCAAAAAAAGCCAAAAAGTAAACGGCGTAAAGTGTATCCAAAAAATCGCGCAAGAAAGTTAGAAAGGACGCCAAAATAGGCAGAATACGGCGAGAGGAACGCGAAAGAGAACAATAAAGGGCATATATAAAAAGGCGAGTATTTAGCGAAGAGCAACGCGAGAAGGAAATGCAAAGTCGCTCCTGAAAACAGACCGAAAAGAGGTCATCAACAAAGAGAAGCAAACTACAAAGGACCCGCGAAAGAAGAGGAGGTAAGTCGTGTCTTATCTGGGTTTTCTTTTACGCTAAGACCCAGAAAAAATTCAAGCATTGTTTTTTACCAACTGTCGTTTGATACTAGCTTCAGTTGTAAATTCAACTGATCACGTTTCGGTTAAACATTGACTCTGGCATTCATCGCCTAAAAACCCTCACGCTGGTTCATCGCTCGAATAATATTTCATAGTGTTCGAATTATTCAAGTTATTTCTTGTCCTTTCTTTTGAAAGTTTAACACGGTTGTGGTGTTATGGGAAAAGAAGTTATCTTACGTATTTTGTTTTGCCTAGAAAGTTTTTAAGTGATGGCGAACCGCGAGCGCAAGTTTTTTGCTCTTCAATTGATTATCGCAGGATTTACTCTATTCATTTGAAAAATTTGCGCTTTGCCGAAGGTGTTATTTTACACCAAGAACGAAGAAATGGTTTTTCCCAAAATTAAAATGAAATGAGATTGAGTCAGCGATGTTCATGTTTACATTAAGTCTGACGCAGTGATTTGATTTTGACGATATTGTCATGTGAGAACCTGTCAAACATCTAAGAATCAAATTATTGACTGCAAATGTGTGGTGCAAGCAAACTCACGAGTAAAATAAAGTTGCTTCTGCAGAAGGATGAGTGAATTTAATTGTTTGGTTGTCGTAGTTTTCAGCGCTATGTTTCATGCTTTCTAATCGATTCGTTCGAACTTCAGGAAATGGTTTATCTCACAAAACATGGAGCCACTTTCTCTTCGCTCAACATCGGGAGGCGTTGTGATGAACATGCTTGCG